CGTTGCTTCGTAAGCGAAAATAATAAAAATTACAATTTGGACCAGAATTTGTAAAAATAAAATCCCAGCAAAAATAAATTTTGCTAGAAATTTTAGTTGATATTACAAATTTAATTGTAATAATTCAGAAACTTGAAATAATTTTTAAAGAAACACGTCAAAATTGATATTATTACAAGTTACCTAACAAATCCAATTATTTTTACGGCAAATTCTGTCATTTACAACTGAAAATTGTAATTTTTGCGTTGTCATAAAAATTTAGTTTTTTTCCGTGCAGGTAATGTAAGATGCAAAAAATAATACACTTCATTGTTGCCATTTGTTCTTATGTCGAAAATGCATAATTTCGTGAACGTGTGGAATACGTTTTTTCAACCATGCCCACCTGAGAAATATCCTAAACTAATTGAATTCTCAAAGTTTTTTAAACAAAGCTTAACACGCTTCAAAAGTTTTAAATAGCTTTTATTGGATTTACATTACTTTATTATTTATATGAATTTTCCTACAGCACGTGGTATTTTCCAAAAGGTGATGCCGCCTCTTGTTGATTGCATATAATAGAATATATATATATATGTTTGCTCGTCAATAGTGTATATACGTATTTTTTGAAGTGAAACTTCTTTACGCACAGTAGGGTAAGTTCGTTTCATGCGAGTTGCTATGTAACGAAATCATGCAACGAATGTCTCCCGTCTACTCGGCCACGTAGTCGAGTTCGTAGTGGGGATCGCTTGAGCCGTGAGCGCGCTTCAATGCAACGTTCGTTACAGGCAACTCCGGCATGTATAGTGTAAAATTTAAATTCATAGTGTACAAATAATACAATTAAACCAATTCCTTAACCCCTATACCGGTATGTTTGTGTGTTTAAAGAAGTTTCACTTCAGTAGCGTGTTGTATAATTACTCGTTGTATTTTTTTTTAAATTTAAATTTTGATTCAAATATTTTACTGAAATACGAAAAGTATTGTCAGTCTCAGACAAGAAACTACTACTTCAGCTGTAGAATAATATTTTCTCTTCGAGCTCAGAATGGACTAAACATGTTGTTGTTGTTCTTTATAGGGATGAACGGTGATGATCAATCGTCAGCGTCACTGTTATGTGTCCAGTGTAAGGACTCCTTCCAGAATTCATGGGATCTTATGGTCCACGCCCAAGCAGCACACATGCTTAACATATACGAATTAGGGGTGCCAAATATGAACAACTGTAATTCCCCGCCGCCTTCGCCTGACACTGGCAACGATAAGGTAAGTAAGAATTAAAGTGTTCCCGAATAAGGAGATACCGTCTCCAGCAGTTATGCTTAGTTTGTGTAAGGATGAGCAAAATTGGTCTAAGTCTTGCAGTCATGGTTTATCTAACTATCTTTATACTAGCAAGACCAAACTAAAACCGAACTAGTAAGACGAAAACTAAAACCAAAACCGAATGAACAAGACCAGGTTATAAATTTACTGATCCAAATGATGGTCACAGATTATGAAGTTTGCACTATGCAGTCACTGCAGTGTTCTAAACTGTCTTTTAATTAAATTAAATTATCACGAATTATAATCATCATAACCTCAGTAAAAACGAAATCGCTACTTCGAATGATAAGATGGTCAACTTCCTATTTTTAAGTATATTGTATATTATTTTCTCCAAATAATATTTAGATTATTGATAGTAAAGCTAAAAAGTTTTCAAAAAGCATATAATAATGATGATTTCTAGAATAATTTAACTTTGATTAAATTATTCCTTTTATCTANATATTATATAAATTACTAGCGACCCGCCCCAGATTCGCACGGGTACAATGCTAATACTAAATATACTACAGACAATACAAACCGGCCCCTCGACTGGAACCGCCGCAATCGCTATGTCCCTGCATTTTAAATCTGTAATATCTTCGAAAATATTCGTTTAAATTACATGCTGTAAAGGGCCGTATTGATCTATATTAAATGCACATTGTATTTCAAAGTACTTAATTGGATAAGGATTAATGCTGTATTGCTTCGTAAATAAGCCATTATTTCTCGTAAAAAGTAAAGGATAAAAAATGGTTATTGTGGGTTATCCCTAAGAGATAGACATATACTATCCCGGACTTTTTTATAGACCTTTTTAAGGTGTACAATACTGTAGTACATTATTTTGATCTATCTCGTAAGGTTCAGCCAGCTTTTGTAATGTAAGCGCAAAAAAATGTGTTTATTTACGACATCACATTAGAAACCTCTAAAATTAGCAGTATTTCTCTACTATATTATGCATGTATTATACATATAAACCTTCCTCTTGAATTATTCTGTCTATTAAAAAAAACCGCATCAAAATCCGTTGCGTAGTTTTAAAGATCTAAGCATTCATAGAGACAGACAGCGGGAAGCGACTTTGTTTTATACTATGCAGTGATTTGCAAATTGGATCAGTGCTACCCTTGAACATTTGTTGAGTAAGTGTAGGTAGGCGGCTTTCTATTTAGGAAAAAAAAATGACTTCGAACTGTCATTATCAAAATTCTCCGTTCTCATTTGTGCAGTTTTAGAGGATCTAAATTGTTAGTGTAATTAAAAAACAGGTATAGCATGAGCGACAGCGTCATCAGCAATGAGAGCGATTCGGATGTGGGATCAAATCCCTCATGGACCATCTTGGAGGGTGATGAAAATGGTGACAATACCTTGACACAAACCCCGCCGGCTTTAATTACCGATATCATCGAACTGGAACCGTTTGAACAGCGTTCAATTTTAGAAATAGAAGATTTGCCTTCTGAAGAAAGCAATGAGAATTGTGAAAATTTACCAAATTTGATTTTACCAGACGACGATCTACTAGAAAATGTCAACGGAGTTAAACAAAATGAAGACTTTGTAAAAATCGAGGAACAATCTGAAAATAATGCTCAACAAGATGCGAATAAGACATCAGTTTTGACTAAGATCGCACGCAAGATTGGCCTTCAGAGACGAAGAAAATTGAAACCTTCAACAACTGGAATTGTTGTTGCTGTTGGAACAGCAATAGCCGTAACCAGTCTGCTTTGCTTCCTATTATTGGCCCCTCCTCTCAAAAAACAGCAAGTCAATTCTTCGACTCCTAACAAGTACACCACGAATAAAAAGAGTACTGGCACCGACATACGTAACTCTGGCATTGTTGAAGACCATTTTGGAACTTCATCATGTTGCTCGTTTTTCCAGTTTTCTCCTTCTGGTTACGACACCACAAATATATACGGCTGTTGCCCAAAAAATTCAAGATATAACAAATCAGCATGTAGTTCTCCAATTTCTAAACACAAATCGGAAGGTATATATTCCAAATCCATTTAGTATACAATCAAAACAATGTATGCTCTTACTCTTTCCACTAAAAAAATTGAAAAAGTCTATCCGAACAAATATTAAATAAATAAACTATTATATTTGGAGTTTGCCTATCCATTTATTATTAAAACATTTTTATTTTAAGATTCTGCCGATCGACTAAATCGTAAAGAGAGTATCATATCACTAAACAGTGATACCAATAGTTCATCTTCCATGGTGGATAAAAAAGATTCCAAGGAAGATATGGGTTTTGTCTTAGTTGAACCTATGAAAGAGAAATCTTCCCAAAACCACATCAATCTTAATTCCAACAAAAACAGCGAATTGTCCAAGGATACTTATGATTTCGCTATTGGTCCTCGCTCTTTAGATTATTACTTGAAAGTTATTGAAGGTGATATTGGATCTCGAAAACAAATTCAAACTCTTGAAGAAAGCAAGAAAATAGTCAATCAGAAGCATTCTACAGACAAAACCAAAACCAGTGTATCTTCTCCTGGCGCAGCGGACAGAGATAAAAAGTCAAGAATCAATGAGAGCATTAAGAAGAATGAAGGAATACTAAAAAGTAGCGAAAATAACAGAAACCACCAAATAGAAAATTTTCTCAAGAAACAAAGTTTTGAAAAGAGTGGTTCACCGAAGAAGAACAAAGTAAATAAATGTAGTACAGAAAGTTTTATCAGTAATAGAAAAGCAAATGATGAAAAAGTAAACTTGTCGCCTAAATCATCCACTACATCTATTGCTTTGAGTTCTAACAATAACATCAAGACAAGTAACAGTTCTTCCCAAAAAGCAAACTCAATTTCTTCGGAAATAAAATTTCCCGAAACACGTAGCAAGAATGTTAACAAAATCTGGGAGACACCAGTTATGAGAACAATTGAAATGGAAAAAGTGGAAAGACCAAAGGTGACTGTGGATCAAAAATCGAAAAATACAATCTCATCATCTAAAGGTTTAACAAATCAAGTACTAGAAGACAATACAACGACTTCAAGAAATAAAGAAACCGGAATTATCAAGGATTATACGGGCAACATAACGGAACTAATTGTTGATTTCAATAACTTCGATCCCATCAAAAACAAACTAACACAATATTCAGAATTGGATTCTATCGGCGACGGGAACAGAACATTATCATTTCAAAAACTGTTACCTCCGAATAACTCCTTCGTTTATGATTTATTGGTGAAACTAGTGAGAAACTTTTTAATCTTGAAACTTTTTTCAAAAATCATAGACATCGTTGACAAAGTGAAAAAGCTTCTTAGAAGCCACAGACACAAAGAAGTCAGAAACAAACACGTGTATAAAGTTTTAAAATCCGTTCACGCTGAGGTGCATGAGACTAAGTGCTTACTTCAACAAATCTGCACCCACTTTATGATTGCCAACAGGATTCGTATAATGGCGAGTAATCGGCAAGAATGCATTCCTAAATTGAAGGAGGAAACAAAAAGCAACGAGAAAGTTAAAAGTTCCTCAAGCAAAACAGAAAGGAAAAGTGGAACAAGATTAAACACCAATAATAAATCGACGAAAGATATCAAACCTGAAAATACTGGAAAGATCAAGCAAATTTCTTCCAAAAACGACGTCGCGAAAAAGAGTTCCGACAAAATTAAAAAAAATGCGTCGCTAACACGAAACGAACTGAATGTAACTTCTTCAAACAGCCGCGAAAAGGCTACACTCCAAAGCGAGAACAACAAAGCAAAATCCATCTTGCTTACGAAACTCCAGAGAAAGCACCAAGAGTATTTAGAAGTTCTAAGAAAACAGCACGAAGAACGACTAAGGCAATTATATCTCCTCAGAGTTGATCAGCAGAAGATGATATCAGATTTAATTCAGCGAAAAAACGAGCAAGAAAGTCGTACGTCTGTTTTGACAAACCTTGAAGAAACCCCCAAGAATGAGCAGGATTCAAAAAGCACCACCAAAATAAAGAAAAGCGTCCAAAACTTGAAAGCTTCCAAGTCCAAAGTAAACAGTTCCAACATTGTGGAAGAGCCGAAGAAGAGTATCAAGAAAGGTTTCAAAAGAACTTTGGAATACTGCGAAGATGCGAGCGACGAAAACTCCGACGAAGACAATTTATTATTGGAGAAGACAAAACGACCCATCCACAAACAAATTGCGCCCAAACATGAAAATTTGAGCAAATCTGAAACTCCGTCAACTGAAAGTGATTTAAGAATTCAATTGGACAAAAGAAAACTCTACTTACACGAAAAAATTGATGTCATGAGGAAGGCCACCCAGTCTCTCAGAGAAACCATGAACAAATTCAAAGAAAACAGATTACAATTCGAACAAGAAGAAAGAACAGAAGCTAATTTATGCGAATCTACAATCTCCTCGTCATGCTGTTCTGAAAGTCTAGCACTTTGCCAAAACAAAGGAATCACGTGGAAAAGCAGTAGTAATATACCAAAGCAAACGTTTCTGTCAGAAACTGTAATCAACCACTCAGAAGATACCAATAACAATTCAAATGTAAAACCAGTCGAATTAAAAACTACCTGTCGCAGAAGCGAGGAAGAGTTAAAACGTTTAAAAAATTACTTCAAAGACCAAATCCTGAAGTTGAAGCAGAAAAAAGAAGCACTTAAAGCAGAATCCAACGCAGATAATAATAACAACAAAATGCAGGTTGTTGTTCGACAACCTAGTAACGTATTTAACTTTGCACCTGCCCAAAAGTTTAACTTTGCACCTAACCAAAATAATCTACCACCAGTGACATTCGAGTCATCTGAAGGTTCTTCCAGTACGGATTCACCTTCCACGTTTCCAACAACCGTATCGATTTCTACAACCAATGAAGGTCCATCACTTCAAAATGACGTTGTATTTTTCGGAGAGCATTCGAATTCGGCAGCGTCGCCAAACGTAGTAGAGAACAACAACTTTGGCTTGTACCATTTCTCTGACGTTTCCCCCCGTCCAAGACGGCCATCCGATCGAATATTTGAACTTCTTTTCGACAAAAAGAGACCGATGATAAATAAAAGAGATAAGCTGTTCTGGCTTAAATATCACAAAGGCAATAAGAGGATGTTGCAGCAGATTTATAAAAATTATTCGACGAAACTGGGCCAGAAAAAGAAAAGGATAAAATTGCAGTAGGTAATAATATCGTGTATTCCGATATTAATTGGTACATTTAGATGAGAATTGACATTGATTAGCATTAGAAGGCATTATTTGGAATGATATTTATTGAATATAAAATATAAAACGTATTTCTTTTATTACATCAGCTGATATTTGCTAATAGCTGAAGTATTTTAAATGTTAAAGAATATACTATCGCAACTTGATGTTCCGTACATATTTCGTATAAACATGCTTAAAGGTTCATCTTCGGTTTGTGGTCGGTGACTTATCGAGACTATGAAGTGCTGATGAGATCAAATAAAATGTAAATCGCTATTCATGTCTGGTAATTTCGTTAAATTACTGACCACAAACTTTTAATTAGTTCTTATCTAATTAAATTCAGCGTGGGATTGAACGAAATGGTAGGAATGATAGAAAACATTTATTAAAGAAAGGGCTGAAGTTAATTAGTGAAAAATCTAAGGTTATAGAATTTGAGCAGAAAAGAGGAGAAAGGGGAAAGAAACAAACAAAACAGGGAGTAAAGATAGAAAAGGTGAGGAATTATTTATACCTAGGATATACGCTGGGTGATAATATCTAGTAGGAATGAGATGTAAAATACTAGGGGGGGGGGCTAAGTAAGAAATTGTGTAGGGATGATTGGGGTAGGAGATTGATGTTCAATATGAGTGAAGAGTATAGTGTTTTAGGGGGTTGAAATTCGGAGTTGGGAGGAATAAAAAGGTTATACAAGGAGGGGATTGAAGTTAGGCAAAAATTCGCTAGATAATGACAGACTACATATGTGAAGATGTAAGAAGAATCGATAAAAAGGACAGTAAAATATAAGGAAAAGTCGGGATTGAAAGAGGGGAATATCAGGAAGGACATATGTAGGAAGAAGGTATTGGAATAGGGCAGGGGTCGGCAACCTTTTGAGTCAGAAGAGTCGAAAATTACAATTTACAAAACTTTTTAAAGAGCCACAAAATTTAAATAATTTTTTTGGATAAAAAACTAATCTATTTATTCATAAGAAAAGATATCTATTTATATACAACACTAACTTGTACTTCAGTAACAAACATATTGAGCAAACAAATTAAATGGGAGCCATGGCTTTTCATGGTTATTCAAGTAGAAAATTTAAACTTTACTAAACTTGTAGTTAGAATAAAAAAAGAATAATATCATACATTTGACCAAACAAATTCAATGGGAGTGTTAGCTTTGCATGGTTTTAGAAAGTTTGGATAAATTTGGCTCATAACTTGTTGTTTTAAGTTTCAAACACGACTCTAAATTTTTATTTGTTAGTTGGCTTCTTACTTTACTTTTAATCTTTTAATTATATTCATGCAAGAGCTTGCTCGCACGAATATGTCGATCCGAAGATAGTCAGCACTCCACATGCCAACTTCTTAACCTCACTGTAACAATCTGGAAGACTATTGGGATGCGGTGAAAAGCGAGCACAACTGATTGAGAGATAGAATCAGTGCCTAATCCTCGTTAATCAATTCAGAACGATTTTTAATTTTTTTTTTGATAAAATAAATAATATTTTCGTATGGAACTAAAGAGCCGCAGCTTCACATCCAAAGGGCCGCATGTGGCTCGCGAGCCGCAGGTTGCCGACCCCTGGAATAGGGTCAAAAAGTAAACATGGTAGAGAGGTGAGGACTTCGTAGAGATTAAAAGTCAATCGAAAGCATGTGGTTTAGGGAATTAATCAATATAAGGGAATTGATCAGGGACATATGCAAGGAAATGATATGGGGAAAGGATCCAAATTAAGTAAAAGATTTCCATATTAGGCAATAGCAATGATTTTGTGTATGACCCAGCTACTGTCCAAAAAAGATGTTTGAAATTTCAGTTTAATCCTAAGGGTTATTAGCAAATTAGTATTATAATTTATATCATCGTTTGTAATTACTACGTATATCAGGAAAAAACAAACATCAGTAAAATAAAACAAAATAATGTACCTAATGTAGGTACCTATTATATTTATGATGATGTGAAACTGCCAGGGCAAAATAATTTCAAACAGATAAAATTTCTCGTCATAAATTGTATGAAAAAAAATATCTCCAGACCAGCCTCGTTCCAAAAGACCAATATTTTTTGTAGGTCCAAATTGAATACCGAAAAACAAAATCGTATTTTTCACAACTCAATTATGGTTTATATCTACAGAACATAATGACCGAACTTCTTAAATAGTTTTAATTATTTGACTATACGTAATACACCAGTGTAGTGAAAATTAAAGCCTGAAAATTATTAGTTTCAGCTTGCTCCCGATGGAGATCATTAATCCTTATGTACCCTAGATAAAAATGTTCAGTCTCTCGGAGTCTCTGAAAGCGACTCGAGTCTCCGTCTCTCATCGAGTCTCTCTGGTGCCGCTGAGAGAGACTGTCAAAAAAACTGTTTAGCGTCTCTAAACGAGAGACCCGAGTCGCTCATAGAGAGATCCTCATTTCGTATCCAGCCTCTGAACGAGAGACTCGAATCTCTGAACGATGTGGCGTCTCGATAGACATGGTTAAAATTTCTAAGTTCGACATATTTTAGAGATCCTAGTCTTTCTACGAGAGACACGAGTCTCCCAATTTTTCAGTTTCATTCATTCAGTCTCTCTGTGAGAGACTCGAATCTTTGAATTAACAATTTTATCGTTCGAGTCTCTAATACAGAGACTGTGAGAGATCCATAAAAACACTTAGGCAATAACTGAGAGACTGTGAAAGACTGTGAGAGACGCTCTCAGAGACGCTGAATGACTCTGAAAGACTCTAAGAGACTGAAAATTTTGTCTGGGGTATATATTCCAAAGATTTTTTAATACACACATATCCTAGAAAATGTATATATTTCCTAGGAATTGTTTGAGATTCCGATATTGTACTAGGAAATGTATAAAACTAATGCTTTGTGTGAATTAAATACTCTAACACATCAGCTCGCCTCCGGCGGGCAGGGGTATTAAGTGAATTCCAATCTGTCTTAAATCTACCTACCCAAACAATGAGTTCACCAATGCATATGAATTTTTAGTATGTTGTAGAGATGAATATGCTGATCATTTTGATGTACATGTTGGGCGCGGAAATGATAATGAAACATAGTTATCGAATAAAATAATTCAAAGTGGTCTGTATTCTGTCGAAACTGCCAGACGCGGATCGCGATTTCGATCTTTTTGGATCTCATCAGTGCGTCGCAGGCAGCTTCAACAGAACACAGACCAACTTTACCTGCTATCTCAACAACGCGTTTTAGAAAATAGCACAAATAGCGCGGTAAACGTCATCTGTAGTACATGCTACATTTTAGAATTACGTATGCTCCAACAAGGTCCATTTAAATATATGGATATCTACTTGCTGAAACGAATCCCGGCGTAGCTAACCTCAACGTGATAGGCACGTTACCATAATCGAATAAAATAATTCGAAGTGATCTGTATTCTGTCGAAACTGCCAGACGCGAATTGCGATTTCGATCTTTTTGGTTTTTTAGTTATCGAACGTTGAAAAACAATAATTGGCGGCCTATGAAAAAACGGCAGTCATACAGCAGGCTGCTTGGAAATGTATATGCATTGTTAACATCATTGTTTGGTTAGGTATATTTATGACAGATTGGAGTTTATTTAATGTTCCTGCCCACCGGAAGCAGGCTGATATGTTGGAGTATTTTATTTACAGAAAACATTAGTTTTTTACGTTTCCTAATACAATATCGAAATTTCATACAATTCCTAGGAAATGTATGCATTTCCCAGGATATTTGTGTATTAAAAAATCTTTGAAACAGTATTTTATAGATTTCCTAAATAGCCTCGGAATTGTATACATTTCCTAGGAATTGCCTACAATTCGTACATTCCATACATTTCCTGTAACATATATAAAAATTCATTAATTGTGAGCGATGTCAATCATTTCCTAATTTGTCTTATTTCGTTTTTGTCAGGCAATATATTATCAATCTCATTGTCTGTTATATTTTAGCATATGAGATAAATAAAAAATATACATACACGTAAAATATATTCCAAAACTTGTTAAAATATGCATAGTTTGACTACTATCCTAGTCCATTTCTGTGAAAAGTATTGGTATAAGTATATAAATGTCGTTCTACCGTTCTAAAATTCATGAATACTCGGCGTTGTTAGGTCCATATATGTATGTATATATACCCGACAAAATCTCGTAAAGGTAGGTACATTGCGTAGTCTCGTTTCTCTGTAAAGACGGTCTTCAGAATTCCATCAGTGAATATATAATCAGATATAAGCAGATAACGGAAAGTATATTCCTGTACGCGAAAAGAACGTGATACAAGTGCAATTTTGCAACTACATCCCGAATGCAAGAATGTAAAATATCCACAACGGAAACTCCACAAAGAGGTTAATTAAATCCTTTGAATTTTACCCAATCATTTTATACATCGTTACTCGTAAGACATCATCATCATCATCATCATAAGGTCGTCAGTCCTAAGACTGATTGGACACGCACCTCCACTCTTTCCTATCCTGAGCTAATCTTCGCATTTCCCTAAAACCCATCCCGAGATAAAAATATTCAGTCTCTCAGAGTCTCTGAAAGCGAGGCTCGAGTCTCCGTCTCTCATCGAGTCTCTCTGGTGTCGCTGAGAGAGACTGTCGAGAGACTGTCAAAAAAATTGTTCAGCGTCTCTAAACGAGAGACTCGAATCGCTCATAGAGAGATCCTCATTTCGTATCCAGTCTCTGAACGAGAGATTCAAACCTCTCAATAAGTGGTGTCTTGATAGACACGGTTAAAGTTCAACATATTTCAGAGATCTCAGTCTTTCTACGAGAGACTCCCAATTTTTCAGTTTTATTCATTCAGTCTCTCTGTGAGCGACTCGAATCTCTGAATTAACAATTTTATCGTTCGAGTCTCTCATACAGAGACTGTGAGAGATCCATAAAAACACCTACGCAATAACTGAGAGACTGTGACAGACGCTCTCAGAGACGCTGAAAGACTGGAGAGAGACTGAAAATTTTTGTCTAGGGATAACCTTTACTATTTGCCAACAGTAATCTAATCTAGGTCTACCTCTACCCCACCTTCCGTTTTTGCCTCTC